TTTGCGGCCAACTAAATGATGAAACTGAACGGCTTCAGGAATCACGGCTTCAAAAAGTTCATTCTCGCCGAATGAACTTTAACCGAACGTAATTCGCCCTCAAGGAGATGGGTTATGTAGGCCTGGGGTAGAGGCGAAGACAGGTCTTGCGCATATTCTCCATCCCACGCCCCAGAAATATATATATATATATTCTTTTAGTAGTGGCGTATTTTGCAAGCATGAACAGGTTCTTCCGCTTCCTGAAAATAGCTGAGTAAATTTCAGTTGCTCACGCGTGTTTTAAGTCTAATTCGACACTTTTATCAGAGCAAAATAAATATTGTACTTTCCATCGAGATTCCCTCTTGCGAATGAAACCGGTTCGCGCTGAGAAGGCAAGGAGCAGTAAACCAGTCTTGATAAACTCTAGGGGGATCATGACCTTCTGGTTGAGAATTAAGCACAATCTAGCGAAATACACTCATCTGGAGACTAATTTGGTTTTGCGAGAAACTCACCTGGAACCCAGCTGAATCTCTTCCGTGATGTTTCCAGGCAGCTGAATTTGATGCACCAGGCCGCCTCACGTTTCAGTCGCTACAATGTTTGAGATATCGCGATACATGTATATATTTGTAACGCACTACTCATAAGGTGCAGCGCATTCAATCACCTGGAAACATCAAAACCGAGAGACTCAGTCGGGTTCCAGGTGAGTCTCTCGCAAAACTAAATTAGTTTGCAAATGAGTGTATATTCGCTAATTTCGTGCAATTCGGTTTCAAGTAGAACATAAGGTTGACGGAAACTCGGGGACTGCGCCTGCCTGATGAGCTCCAAGAGGGGCGAAACCGATCGTGGGCTGTGGACGGATTTCCAGCAACCTTATGGGTAGTGCCTTACAAATAAGCATTGCAATCAACTTATGGTTAGACAGGATATTGTTTCTACAATCTTCGGTCGCGTAGCTCGTGTTCTCTGATTTGGTGTTGGTCACTTTTCCGGCGACTAGCATGCGCGTTCAAAGTCCTCGCGTACCCGCATCAACATGATGAGTCTGTTTTGTCATGGTCAGGTCTTTTTCATTCTACCAACGTAAAAAATGCTATACCCACTAGCCAGCAAGGACTGCTGGATGACAGAGCGTAACTGCGGACTGGATATGTATTTCAGCGAAAAGCGAATACAGCAGTGTGAAAAGTACACTCATTTGCACACAACCGTGGTTTTGACACTTACATCTCTCGTTTGTAACGGCCCACCAGGATGCCTCAATTTCCAGTTGGTACAATATTCGAAATATCTCGGTACATTGTCTAAACGCCACATGCTACTTACAAGATTGCTAAAACCTGTATATTTGTTATGTACTATTCATAAGGTTGCTGAAAATCCATCGACAGCCCACGACCAGTTTCGCCCTTCTTGGGGCTCATCAGGTAGGCGCAGTCCCCGAGTTTCCGTCAACCCTATGTTCTACTTGAAACCAAATTGCACGAAATTAGCGAATATACACTCATCTGCAAACTAATTTGGTTCTTTCGAGAGACTCACCTGGAACCCAGCTGA